TAGAGTCTCAGGACTTAAGAATATAGACACCTACTTAGGCTTATTATTATTATTATTATTATTATTACCCTTATTATAATATATATATATATATGTATGTATGTATGTATGTATATATATTTATATATGTATGTATATATATATATATATGTATGTATGTATGTATGTATGTATGTATGTATGTATGTATGTATGTATGTATGTATGAAGGTCTGTTTCCTAAGCCGCGGCAACTTTACAAGCCCCGACCTCCGGTCCTCTGTGTCTTACTTGGGGGGGTTTAGGGTTTAGGGTTTAGGGTTTAGGGTTTAGGGTTTAGGTTTCCCTAAACCCTTATTGGGAGTTTCCGGCAATTAGGGTACCTTATTTGGGGGTCCTTATAATAAGAATCCTATTATTTAGGGTACTATAGTAGGGTCCCCCCCTATTTTTGGAAATCCCCTTATAAACCTGTATACCGATAAACCCTAAACCCTAAACTCCCAAACCCATAAACCCTAAGCCATAAACCTATAAACCCCTAAACCCTGAACGTTTAGGGTTTGGGGTTTAAGGTTTTGGGGTTTTGGGTTTGGAGTTTTGGAGTTTTGGGTTTAGGGGTTTAGGGCTTTGGGTTTAGAGTTTTGGGCTTGGGGCTTAGGCCATATGGATGGAGTTACCTCGACCGGTAATTCAGGAAGTTTATTTCTGATGACGCAGTCCTCCGAAGCAAAGCTTGCTCGTTTTTCGCGGTGAACCCAAAAGCCTCCCTAAGCTTAGGGTTTAGGGTTTAGGGTTTAGGGTTTAGGGTTTAGGGTTTAGGGACCTTAAACCCTTAACCCGAGCACCTAAACCCTGAAACCCTGATTTCTGCACCCTCAATCCTCAATTTGAATCCCCTAGAGCCTAAACCCGAAACCCCAAACCCCCCGTAACCCAGAACTCACCGCAGCCAAGGAGTCCCGAAGCCCTCGGTGAAGCTCTGCAGAAGCTATTGACCGAGGCTGAGGCCACAACTGAGTCCATAAACCCGAAACCCAAAGCCCTAAAACCTAAACCCTAAACCCTAAACCCTAAACCCTAAACCCTAAAACCTGAACCCTAAACCCTAAACCCTCAACCCCAAACCCTAAATCCTAAACCCTTAGGGTTTTAGGGCTTGGGGGTTTCAGGGTTTACAGGGTTGAGGGTTTAGGGTGCAGGGGGAGGGCTGCAGGGTGTTGGGTTTAGGGTTTTGGGTTTAGGGTTTTGGGTTTCAGAGTATAGGGGTTGAGGGTTTAGGGTTTGGGTGTTTAGGGTTTGGGGGTTTAGGGTTTGGGGGTTTAGGGTTTGGGGGTTTAGGGTTTAGGGGTGTAGGGTTTGAGGGATTAGGGGTTTGGAGGAGGTTAGGTTGGGGGTTTGGCGGGGTTTCGAGGCAAATGAGAAGATCATGGAGCGAAGAGTCTAGGGCTAGGACGGGCTGAGCGCCACAGATTCTTAGGGATGGAGTGACCTTTGCTTCGAAGAACCGAGCTACCTGAGACCTGTAAGTGTTTGTGAAGCCTGGAACATGGTTTCGGGTTGAGTTTTGTCTAGGAGCGGTTTACAGTGAGTGCCGAGTATGCTAAAGGAGCTGTCAACTTTGGACTCTGAACCTTCAGCCCTCAACCAAACGTGGCCTTTGCCATCTCTGCGAATGCGAAACTTCCCTAAACCCTAAACCCAAACCCCTAAACCCTAAACGCCTGAACCCTGAACTCCCAAACCCTACACCCTAAACCCTAAACCCTAAACCCCTAAACCCCTAAACCCCAAAACCCCTAAACCCCAAAACCCCAAAGCCCCTAAACCCCCCAAACACCTGAACCCTAAACCAAATCTTGAAGTCTCTTGGAGGCGTCAGTTCGACCGGGAGCTTACTCCCCCCGATCGGGAGAGGCTATGGCCATGAACTGGTTCGGGTTGATGGTGTTAATATAGGGGCCTTAACAGTTACCTATACTATTTTGGGGGTTTCTTATTATAGCTATTGTATAATGTACCCCAAAACCCAGTTCTAGTTTCAAAGGGTCCTATACGGCCAAAAAGACGACAATATGTCAGATTTCTATATCTGTATATATGTATGTATATATACATATATATATATATGTTTATGCAAAGTATACTTGTACATATATAAGTCATCTGATCAATGATTCTATCATGGCAAGCAAGAAAGAGCCATATCTTCGAGCTTGTAGTGGACCTTAGGGTTTAGGGGTGTTGGGGATATTCCTCTGCGGTATGACAAAAGGTGTATGCAAGTGTAGCAGGTCCTGTATCAGAATGCTGAAGGGGTATATTGATCATTCAGCCACGCCCCGGAGGTTTACGCATGAGCATCGAACCCTAAACCCTAAACCCTAAACCCACCTCCTTCTGCAACGAACGGTGTCCTCGCGTTAGGCTAAAGCCTAGCCTAAAGCCACAAGCTCACGAGGCTTATGGTAAACCCTAAACCCTAGACCCTAAACCCGAAACCCATCGAAAGAACCCTGAACTCTCAGCCCACTGCGACGCTGGAAGACCCGAACCCGGAACTCTTATCCCTATACCCTGCATTGCAGCAAGCGTAAAACTCTAAGTGAAGCCTCGAATATTTGAATTCCGCTAAAGACACTAACCTGGTTTGGTTTTTAAAGGGGATGTGACAGCTGTACAAAACCCATCATAAACCCGTTGGTAGCCCCCTTCTATACTCTTGTTCGAGCCCATTCTGAATTCCGACAAGTAGAATCCAACAACTCTTTACACACCCTAAACCCCCCAAAACCCTAAACCCTAAACTCGAGTCCCGAAACCCTAAACCCCAATCCCAAAACCTTACACGTAGAAAGACAAGCTTTTTTTTTTTTTTGCAGGCAGGCCGCCGCGTGGCCGAGGCAGCCGCGGCTGCCGAAGCCCTGGCTTTGAAACCGAGCTGGTGCCTTGGGTTTAGGGTTTAGGGTTTAGGGTGCTTTTTTTTTTTTGTTTGGGTTGTCGTCGTCTTTTGGCGTTTAGGGGCCAGGGGTTCAGGGGTTTAGAGGTTTGGGGTTTAGGGGTTCATTTTAAAGGGTCTATATAGAGGCTTGAACCATGAATCATATCACCCCTCCATATTCGAATCTATTCTTTGGGACTTCCTCTTCGAATTACTCAGCCCCGATCCACAGCCGCAAGAACTCCCGTACACAACCCCATGGGTTTCGAGCTTCGGGTCGAGAAGCGGAGTTAATTCCTAGTTTAGGGTTTAGGGGTTCAGGGGTTTACCCTGGTGACCAAGTCCCATGATGATTTAAGTGGGTTTTTAGGGTTTAGGGGTTTACCCTAGTTACTATGTCCCATGATGCTTTATGTGGGTTTTGGGGTTTAGGGGTTTAGNNCTAAGTCCCATGATCCGTTAAGTGGGTTGAGAAAGTCTGGTCAAGAGTTCAACGAAAAAATCTGTTCGCTTCGGGTTCGGGTCTGGGGGTTTCCGTGTGCAGCGACTAGAAATGGCACACGTGCCATACACCCGAAACTCTAAATCGAAGAGATCCCCGAACTCTTAACACTCGGCCGTGAACTAGAACCCCCCAAAAGCTGGAGGGGCATGCTGGAAAAGCTCTCCAAGGCTTTGTATTTGGGGTTCAGGGTTTAGGCAAAGGGCAGTCTTTGTGGGGGGTGGGGGGTTCTCGCAAGAGGTCCTTACCGCTTCTCGTAGCAGCCGAGTTGAGTTATTTAGGCTGCCTTGTTAAGTTGCGTTGTAGTGACTGTTGAGCCAGGAGAGAGGGGGACCTGGCTTTGTTAAATGGCACCTGGGATGCTTGTCTGCAATGTTTCCTTTCTTTTTTGGTTGGAGGGGGGGGGGGGGGGGGGNNCGCTGGGCTTTAGGGGTTGTTGGGGTGGTGGGATGAGGGTTACCAAACGCCCCAAACGCCCCAAACTCGAAGCCTCAGAGCAAAAGCTACGCCGAGAGCTCTCGAGTGAAAATCCGCTGAAGCTCCTGTGCAGCCCACTCGAAGCTTTGGTTTGCTGTGAAGCTCCAGGGTACCGGGTTTGGGTTCCAGAGACCACATCCGAATTCACGGGAGCCGTTGTAATATCGTTTGTAACAGGGAAAGCGTGCGTGAGGCAGAGTACGAGCGTGACGAAGTGAAGGTGCAATGGTGAGAGTAGTGTTGCCAGCAGAATTTCTCATGGTACCAATGTAAAAGCCCACAACTTTGGCTCCGAACCATCGTGAGTGGCTCGACTCCTCACCAATGTTCTCGAACTTGCGCATCTTCAAAGACAGCGCCATGGTGGCCACCTGAAACACTGCAGCGTAGACCCCAAACTAAGGCGGCAAGCCGTGAATCCCAAACCGGCGGTGTCGGGTGTGTGTAGGGGTCCACAGCCAAACAAAGCAAAGGAGCTGATGTTCACGAGCAACGGGGAGACTTCGGCAGAGCTTAAGGCACAAGTGACATGACCTGGGCGCAGATTTCGGTATGCAGTAGCCTCGGTGTCCAATCATGACGCGCTATGTTGCTGACAAGAGCGCTGCAAGTACATTACAGAAGAATCTGCTGTGAACGTCGTTCTTGAAGCAGCTGAGTCATCACCAAGCCCAAAGTGATCATGATATTAAATATCGCCTAGGTCTTCAGGAATCCCATGCCTGGCAACATCTTGGTAATATTCACCCTGGGTTTGACCATCGCCACAGTCGCCACCTTCGTCTTTCTTCTTATTTATCATCATCATCATCAGCAGCAGC